AAATAAATGGGCCAGGCAACAAAGTTTCTATTTGTGACAACAGGCATTTTCAAAAGAATAATTACCACAGAATTGACACACATTGAAACATGGTCTTCCAAATTACAAAACGATGTAGTCTACGGTCATGGCAGTAACTTTTTAAAATAAAGGTTAAAATATTATACATATTAGATACTCTCTGAGTAAGCAGGTGAAAATCTCCCTCTGCATTTCAAAATAGATTTTTTTCATTGTTACTGAGCTATAAAATTGCTGCTTGAACATATTTTTACAAATGCTCAAATGCTCAGGGTATGTATTTTTGTGGTTCGTTTGAATGTGTTTCCACGGGGAATTGCGTGAATAAATTAATAACAGAAGTCGGAATGTAACAATGTAGCAAGATGCCTCGCTTTGTCACCTTGTTAAATGCACGGCTTACTTCTCGTACTTTATACGCAAAATTTCAAACAATGACGGCAGATCATTGTTTAAAGATAACATTTTTTGCCATTGCGAACTCGCAATCGCCTGTTTTTTTGTCATTGCGAATTTGCAGCGACGACCGCAATGGCTGTTTTACCGAACATTTACATACCTTTTTTCAGTGTCTAATTATTATTTTGTTGAATTCCTATTGAAACTTTAATTATTTCTTGGTTACTCAGCTCAACTGCAGAGACAGAAGTTACAACAACAACAGCAGCAGCAACAACAACAACAACAACAGCTTCAACAGCAACAACTCCAGCAGCAACAGCATGTAAATCAAGGACCTGTCCAAAGAGCAACATTGTTGCAACAAATGCAGCAGCAGCAGCAGCAACAACAACAACAGCAGCAGCAGCAGCAGCAGCAGCAGCAGCAGCAACAGCAACAACAACAACAACAACAACAACAACAACAGCAACAACAACAACAGCAGCAGAATATGCAACAAAAGGTATTCTCTTAACCCTCTGTGGCCCTAAAATGATGACAAGTGAGAAACAAAACAATAAAAAATAACATTAGCTTTTGTGATAAATAGCCCTCCTATTGTTCATTAGTCCCTGTTCGGACGGAGTCCGAAAATGGGGACTTATGTTTTGACCTCCGTGGGTGCGTGCGTACGTGCGTGCGTGTGTGCGTGCGAGCGAGCGAGTGACCTGTATCTTAGAAATGCCTGGACCAATCACAATCAAACTTCACACATACATCATACATGATATTATACATATGCACATCAATTTGTTCCACGATTTAATTCTAGATGGCTGAATAGTGGCCATTTTTGTGCTAAAAATCATCAAAATCAAGCATTTTTCGGCTGTTTACAGATGGATTTTGTTCAAAATTGGTATATACGTTAGACATTATAGGACCTTGATGCACATCATTTTGTTTTTCAGATAAGATTCAAAATGGCTAACTGACGACCGTTTTGTTTTAATGCATGTGGTTCTTGCGCCATATCTCTGACTTGCTTTGACTGATTATGTTCAAATTTTACATATTCATTATAGATCATGTCATAGATATACAGATATATTGGTTTGACGATTCTATTCAAAATGGCCGAATGGTGGTCATTTTTGTGCTGAAAAATCATCAAAATCAAGCATTTATAGATGGATTTTGTTCAAACTTGGTACATACAGTACAATTCCCGCAAAGCTTTGGCTTTTGTGGCATCATTGTCGCCTCAGCATCGCATCATTGTGGCATCAGCTTTGTATTTTTCTGTATTTCATTTAGTTTTAGCCGAGTCCGATCCCATTCCCAGACTACTAATACATGCAAAACACATGTACGCCGCCTGTTACGTTGGCGTTGTCGCCAGTCATCTTGATACAAAGTTCCAAAACAAGTGCGTACATTTCCAACATATGATTGGATGGTTGTGGTGGCGTCAGTCTGGTAAAATTTGACATCCAATTTTCAAAATTAAGTCACGATCCGTGAACTGAACTCGATCTATACGTACTTTAAAAGTATTCTCACAAAAAATATTTTCGAATAAAAACGAGCCACATGCTCTGTAAAAAATTGAATAGCGCTTGACATGCAGAAATAATTAATTGGGCTTCAGAAAAAAACATGTTCATTTAGTTGTAGCCGTAAATATTTAGTGACCAGTCGATGAACAATTTGAAAAATCATGATGATGATTCACACGGAAGTCCTTCGATACTGAAAATCATTGACCCCCAGTCTGGTTTACCTTATTTCCCAACTTGCAAAACTGATTTGTATCTGAGCCAAGTTTTTTTTTTTTTTTGAACTGAGGTCAAATCCCATCCGTTTGTCAAAATATATCGACGTTTTTCAGTGAATAATTGTGAAGCCTGTCACATCACAAAAAAAATCAGGCGTGAATTTACGCCGGAGGCTGGATGGTACGACGACCCTTCAATATGCGTCAAATATGCTTTGTTACAACATCATTGACTGGCTGAGAGTCACCTGATCAGAGCACGACCTGGGTCACAGAACTATATTTGTCTGTATTATCAACAGGACTTTGCGAGAGAACCACACCCACATTTTCAATCATTTTTAGCGCAGAAGTTGCCAACTAATGTCAAAAATAATGCTAGCGATTGGTAAGACTGGTTAATAATATTTCCCCCGATGCTCTTCGATTTTTTTTTATTTCAAGGTGAGAAATGGATAGTTGAAGTTCCATCGACGGTCGAAAATAAAACGGAAATTGTCCGGTCAAATTCAAGAAGCGATTGCAAAAGCGAGCGATTGAAAAGCGGAAACGGGCGAGAGGTTGGGCGAAATGAGTTACTGTACTTCTTTGTTTGATCAGATAGAGGGACTGTAGTTTGATGAAGCGATGCTGATGCCACATGTCGCCATAATGAGGCTACAATGAAGCGAAGCGATAACCGCCTAACTTTTTAATGTTGCGACATTGATGCGACCATGAAGCCATAACAATGCCTTAATGATGCGATGCTGAAGCGAAGCTGACGCTGAAGTGAAGCCAAAGCTTTCGTGAGAACTGTACTGTACATTAGACATCATGGGTTCCTGATGCACGTCATTTTATTTTTTAAAATGGCCGACTGGTGGCCATTTTGATTTAATGAATGCAGCTCTAGTGCCATATCTCTGACATGCTTTGACTGACTATGTTCAAATTTTATATATTTATTCAAAATGGCTGATTTTGTTTTAATTAATGCTGTTCCAGAGCAATATCTCTCAATACTCGTTTGACGATCAGATACAAACGTCAATCATTTTAATGTTAAACAATCATCATAATCATATTCCTGACATGTTTATGTTCCAGCTATATTACTATAAACAAAACTATATATCTTAAATTGGATAACTAACAGGGACTGTGCCATGCATGGTTTCTAATGATATCATCAGTTCTTTAATTGAAATGTGCATTGCTAATCACAGAGTTATCTCAGCCGAGAAGCTGCTTGTTTAACTTTTGTGATAAATAACTGCCAGGCACAACAATATTTAAAAAACATGTTATACAATGAATACTGGCACTACCTGGCCATTTGCCATTACAGTGCCTAATCGTAATCCATTGATGATGTATTCTACATTGCAGCCTATGATGTCACAAACCCTTATGTCAGGGTTGCCTCAACAGAAATCTATGGGCCCAACTCACCAACAACAATTGCAACAGCAACAACAGTTACAGATGAATCAACAGCTACAGCAGCAACAACTACAACAACTACAACAACAACAGCAACAACAAATGCAGCAGCAACAACAACAACGTGGGATGCCTTCCCAACAGGTGAAAATAATTACTTTTGAATACAGATCTGTTTATTTAAACACACACCCCCATGTCTTACCATATTTTATAACAGTCATCTTTCCTTGGTCTCCAAAGAAGCAGTCACATAACTTTTAGTTTAATAACTAATAAAATGCTGAAGTTTCTCTGAGAACATGTGTTTGTTTTGTATAACAGATTTTTTTAGTATCTCATGGCATACATGTACCATGTATCACAGTACAGGTTTCTGTATCAACCTATTTCCTTTAGATCTTCTTGTAAGTCTAGCAGTGATTAATTAGTTACTGTAATTACATCAATTTGAAAAGTTAAAGGTTCATTCTGGGATCATTTATTGACATCACGTCACCTGTCGCCCCTCCTGGAACATAGGCCATCGATGACAGTTCTCCAGCTTGTGCGATCTTGTGCTGCAGTCTCCAAGTGGATCTTGAGCGCCTAACATCAACGATTTATTGACATCATGTGATGTGAAATATTAAATGGTTGGAATCTAGGAAAATTCTTAAATACAGCCCACTCAATGGTTAATCCAGACAAATCCTTGAATGCAGCTCA